CTTTGCCCATCACAGGGCTCAGCTGTCTTTATGTGGTGTAGAAACATAAACTGTTTATGTAAAGTTAATGTGAAAGCTTTAAGGTTTTAGCCCTTTCATTAGCTCGCACACTGAACTGACATTGAAACCTTGTTAGAATTTCAGCCTTGTTCTACATCAGCTACCTGAAGCCACCTGCCCGACTAGTTTACACAAGTTTGATCTGGTCTAATATATTTAAAAACCTGCTGTAGTCTAAATAAGCCTACTTCCTGCCGTCCTACCACCTCACCTCCCTAAAGAGGCACGAATGAGTCATAGATAACACCGTTCAGGATGTGTCCTTCATTTTTGGTTTAAGTACGCTGTGGCGCAGCCTGTGCTTGAGACCTTGATAACCTTGATCTCTTCTATAATTTCAGGTTCGTTTCCAATATTTCTAAAACTAATATTAGGGAGAAAGTCTGTCGTTAAATCAAACACACTCGGTGTGCAGATGTTTTATTAACACTTGGCACTAACGACTCGACTTTAGCTTCCGTTAACACTGTAGAGCCCAGCGCTATCTCGTTTGGCGGGCATGCATGCACTGCAACCAGCTTTAAGTTATAATTGTCAAACAGAAGATTTTCTGTGTGCCTCACCTGCTTCCTCGGGGCTCCTACCAGCCTCTACTCTTGACCTGTTTCTTTATTCTCTGTGCCGTTTGCATGTTTCCTCTGTTTGCTATTTATTCCTCATGTCTTTACTAGTTTACTATTTCTATGTGGACTCATGTGGAACTTCTAAACTTGTTTTAAAGCCTTCGCGGCTCCATCACGGCGGATACTGTTTTCTATTTTTGAGTCTGACTGCAGAGATGTATGCGTTGTCATGCTGAATGGCCTGATACTGTATGTTCATCTCTCCTACACACGAAACTTCTCGACGGTACAACGAGGAAAGGGGACTCTTCGTTACGCAACCTCCTGAGAGTGTTTGCACTGTGTATTTATAACTAGCATCAATATAAACTCTGGGGTAGGACAGACATTACAGAAATGACTTATTTCTTCCTTTCTTTGTTTCCAGGGTCACTTCGCATTGGTCTGCAGGCCAATATGTTCTGTTAAATCATACATAATGCAGTACTTTGCAATAAATACTCGCTTGCATTCCTGTCCTGTGCAAGTATTCGAACATCAGTCTTCATTTCTTTCTATTAACATGAAAGCAAAACAATGCAACAGAAGTCCAACTTTAAGAGGTTTCCATGCGCTACCTTTCCCGAGCGCGGCGGACGCCCTCTCTCTCCACCAGGTCCGAGCTGTCTCTGAGGCCAGCTGTGTCACTCAGGAGGACGGGGAACCCACCGAGGTCCAGAGCCGTCTCCACCACATCTCTGGTGGTGCCAGCAATGGGAGACACAATGGCTGCAGGTCTCTGACCTGGAATACAAAATGTTTTTAAATGTTAATGAATAAACTTGCCTGTCACAAAAAAACAAGCATTGTGTGCATTTCTCAAAGTAATAATTTGGTCATTTCATCACCTGCAATACAGCAGATCATGTATAACCAGAGAAATCTCCCGGGTCTAATAACGCTGACATATCTGTGCTTCTGGGTGTGAGCTCGAGCCACCGGAGCACGAATCAGAGCAGGAAGGACTTTATCTGACATCTGTCAAATACACCGATCGCTCTGATACGAAGACATCCGAGCTTCAAGACCGGAGAGCTTACATTAAAAGGTTCGACATTATGTCAGGAAACATGTCCTCATATTACAAAACACCAAACATATACATAATTAGAGAGAAGCGGAACATTTAAACTCTACAGAAGCGTATCTAACAAATGTGAAAATATTACTTTCATCTTAAATGTTTTTATTCTTTTAAGTGTTTATTCTACAAATTAGGGCTGCCACGATTAGTCGACTATCAGAATCGTC